TAGAGACGGGGTTTCACCGTGTTGACCAGGATGGTCTCGATCTCTTGACCTCGTGATCCACCCGCCTCGGCCTCCCAAAGTGCTGGGATTACAGGCGTGAGCCACCGCGCCCGGCCTTAATTTTTGTATTTTTAGCAGAGATGGGGTTTCACCATGTAGGCCAGGCTGGTCTTGAACTCCTGACCTCAGGTGATCCGCCCGCCTCAGCCTCCCAGAGTGTTGAGATTACAGGCGTGAGCCACCTCGCCCAGCACTTTATATTCATTTATAAAATTCTTCTTTCTCTTGGTGTTTTTGGATAATTTCTATTGTTATGTCTTCAAGTGCACTACTGTTTTTTTCTGCAATGTCTAAACTGTTATTAATTCCATTCAGTGATTTTTCATCTTAGATTTTTTTTTTTAATATTAAAAACACTTTTAAATTCTTTATTTTGGAATTGTTATAATTGCACAGGAATTAACAATGAATGATAGCACAAGGAGGTCCTTTGTATTCTTCACCCAGTTTCCCCCAATGGTTTTGTTTCAGTACAATTTTAACAGCTTTATTGAGATATGATTAACATTCCATAAACCACATATTTTAAATGTACAATTTGATAAGTTTAGAAATTACATATACCTGTGAAACCATTGCCACAATTAAACTAATAAACACACCTATCATCCCCAAAACATTTTTCATTCCCCTTGGTACTTCTTCCTATCCTCTTTCTGCCTACCTTACCCAACCCATCTCAGACATTTTGGTTTTTTGTCTCTAAAGTTCAAAGTGGGTATTTAAAAAATATCTTCCTAGTCTCTATTTACTACGTACAAAATACAGTTATAATAATTGTTTTAATGACCTTGTCTAATCCTCACATATGTGTCAGCTGTGGTGGTTTCAATTGCTTTTTCTCCTTATGAAGGGTCATAGTTTGCATGACTGGTAATTTTTTATTGGAGAACCAGACATTGTGAATTTTACATTTTTGGGTGCTTGTTAATTTTGGATTTCTGTAAATGTTCTTGGACTTTGTTCTGGGATGCAGTTCAGTTATTTAGAAACAGTTGGATTCCTTCAGGTCTTGCTTTTGAGATTTGCTAGGTGGAATCTAGCAATGTTTGAACTAGGGCTGACAAATCCTCACTACAAGGCAAAGCCCCTCTGAGAGTTCTGACCAGTGCTCCGTAAATTATGAGGTTTTCCGATCTGGCTGATGGGGACAGGCACTGTCCAGGCTCTGTGTAGCTTCTGGCTATTGTTCCGGCCCATTGTTTTTGGGTGATTCTTTCCTTGGCCTCAAGTGGTTTCCTTACACTTATATGATGAATCATGCTCTGTTGAACACTCAAGGGGGGCCCTTTGCAGATCCCCAGAATTCTCTATGCATCCACCTTTCTCCTCTCCCCTACCCTGTCCTGAGCACTCCAGCCACCTTGGCTACTCCAAACTCTCAGCTGTCCCCTCAGCTCAGAGTCACTTGTTTTGCCTGGGTTTTTCCTCCCTGAAATACATCCTCCCAAGCAGTAAGCTGGGCAACCGAGGGGCTCACCTTGCTTGTTACTTGCCTCAGAGGGACTGTCTTTTGTTACCTCGGGTCTGGTGTCTTGAAACCGAGAGATGAAGAGATATAGAGATGAAGTCTTGCTATGTATATTTTGCAATATAACATGTTCAATGAATTTGAATTGTTTCATGTGTTTTCTGTTTGGTTGGTTGTTTCAGGCAGGAGGGTAAACTTGGCCCCTGCCTGCTCTTCCATCTTGGCTGAAAAGGAGAAGTTGTATCTGTACTTTCAGTCTGTTTTTGTTCAAACTTTGGAGCTGCAGATTAAAGTTATTCCATTTTAGGGAAAATGTCCATCATATATCCTACCTGAAAAGACTGTCCTTTCTGTCAAACCTGTGAGCCAAATCTGACTTTCTAACAGAAAAAGTCTGATTTTATTTTTCCATTCAAATCAATGTGGTTAGTATGTATCCTGTGTCAACCATCTCACTTGCAATTTGAATTACTCTTATTTCTTTTTTTCCTTTTTTTTTTTTTTTTTTTTTTTTTTTTTTTTT